TGAGCATCTTTGAGGCCATCAATGATCAATACAAGGTGGACAGAGAAGATGTAATATGCTCAAGAATCAGTCAAAAAAAGAGAGCATTGTCTTGGAAGACAAAGTAGAGGAAACTTCTAAAAGTAGAGAGTGCGTTAGGAGCCAAGTAAATTATAGAGTCAAAGTATATCGCTTGAAAGAGTTACTTCAGAGGCAGAGTGAGAGAGAACATAGAGTGGGCATTAGAATAAATTATAATGAAATACAATGGTCCATGATGACATGGAGAATAAGCATAGTAACACTTTTGTGTGTGCACTTCGAATTGTTACTCAGGGCACATTAATGGTGTGAGATATTCGGGATATGTGAAACATTCAAGACATGTGTGTGTGTATATATACATACACACTCACACATACATACACTACTAGCATTTTCATGAACTAAAACAAAATTCTTAAAGGCTTAAAAAGATCACACAATATTTAGTTCTTATTTTCTAAGAACTAATGCAGACAACAAAAACTCTTCTTCAAGATAATGTGAAACCAACAAGTAGAAGGAGATAAAAGTGAATAGTAAAATCTTGAAAGATTTAAAATTATGATCAATATTTTAAAGAGTAGGAATAATTTCTCATTTCATATTGGGTCTCATTTCTCTTTTATTTAGCGCACATAAATCATTTTTATCAGTAGCATATCAGAATTTATTGGCATTACTAGTAGTTAATCTTATTACTCATATCAATATTTTAGAATTGTACAGACTTCTAATTCTTTGCATTCAATTGGTCACAAAACGCTTGTTATACATAGAGTAAAGCTCAGAGGCTATATCTTTCTTTCTTTTTCTACCCTAAGAATAGCTTCTATCCCCATCAGCTCCTGGGGTCCAAACATTTTTTCTTTCTAAGGAATTGTTTTATTTCGTCTTGTTTTGTTTTGGTGAGGAAGACTGACCCTGAGCAAATATCTGTTGCCAATCTTCCTCTTCTTTTTTCTGCCCAAAGCCCCAGCACATAGTTGTAGAACCTAGTTGTAAGTGCTTCTAGCTCATCTATGTGGGAAGCCATCACAGCATGGCTTGATGAGTGGTGTGTAGGTCCGCTCCCAGGATTCGAACAGATGAACCATAGGCCGCCGGAGCAAAGCAGGAGAACTTAAGCACGATGCCACCTGGCCAGCCCCTCAAAGGAATTCTTTTTTCTCACAGTTCCTCATTCTAAGCAATCAAAGCTGCTATGAAAGGGGCTGGGGCAATTGCAGGAGATTAATTTTGTAAAGCTTACATGTATATATATTTTTCTTTTAAGGTGTTTTTAGCTTCATTATGCCTATAAGGCTATAATTTTAAAACGTCTTCTTTAGAGCACAAATTATAAAATAGTTTTTCTGTCACGTATAGCATACTCACTATGACAACTGTGACCATTGGATATAGATTTGACATGTGCACTCATTCCAGTTTTGGTGACCTCATCTCAAAATCTTCCAAAATTCTAGGCAGAGAATATAATACTCCTGCCCCCTTTATTAATGTATTAACCGTAAATCTGAAAAGAACATAGTAGCAGATAAAGGTCTTTTTTCTCTATTAACCTCATATTATGAATCTTTTAAAAATTCAGATACACGAATATGAGTAACAAGAAGGGAATCTTTAAATTGAGTTTGAACTTTATTCTAATATAAAACTAATTCATATAGAAGAAAACCAATGAGAGAATTCAAATTATCCCTTATGACTGAGCTTCTGAGAAAATACACATTCAGTTACCGATTTATTCATGCTACATATATTCGTGGGCACTTGCTGTATGCCAGACATTGTGTTGAGACATAAATCATAATTAAAAACTAGTTGAGTGAGGCCTGGAGGCAAAAGTGCTCCAGGGAGATGGTTCAGCTTGTGCAAAGTCTCTGAAGTGACTGAGCATTGACCAGGGCGACTGAACCACAGAACGCAAAGTGGGAGTGAGGAGCCACAGGCTGGAAAGGTAAGGAAGATTCAGATCCCAGGGCCCTTTGTATGTCTGAGCAAGAATTTTCGACTTTTTTCTTGTACTTTATAAAATCATTAAAGAGCTTCAAGTAGGATAGGAGGCGACAGTAACTTGATCAGAGTTAAATTTTCTTTTTTTTTTCCCAAAGATTTTATTTTCCTTCTTCTCCCCAAAGCCCCCCGGTACATAGTTGTATATTTATAGTTGTGAATCCTTCCTGTTGCGGCATGTGGGACGCAGCCTCAGCATGGCCTGATGAGTGGGGCCATGTCCGTGCCCAGGATTCAAACCGGGAAACTAAGGGCCGCCGAAGCAGAGTGTGCGAACCCAACTGCTTGGTCACGGGGCTGGCCTCCAGAGTTGAATTTTCAAAACAGCACTTTGGCTGCAGTATGGTGAATAGATTTCAGAAAAACAATAAGGGAGGAGTTAAGTTACACAATAATTTATTCCCAATCCCAATCAACCAAATTCATTGTTTCTATAAGAGAATTATTTTAAAAAAGTTTGAATGACAGCTTGCTTTTAGAATATGCTATAGAGATGAGGACTGAGAACACACACAGGCCAACTCCCCACCTCCCTGCCCTAAACACACTCACATAGATACACTCACCACATTCTCCAATCTCTTTGCTATGTTGACATATTTGGTTGACATAGTATTTAGGTCATGAACTTTAAGTTAATCTTCTAGTAGTGGTGTTCAGTTTTTATTGATCATTTATAGGTTACAGAGGGTAGGTTTACGTGGAGAAAAGTAAAAGTAATTGATCTATGAAGTGATAATAATATTAATTATAATACCTTAAAAAGATGCTATTGGGTGATTATTGTATGCCAGGCAGTGTTCTAAACACTTTACCTTGTATTAAGTTATTTAAACTTTGTAACAACCTCTTGAGATAATTCCTATGTACGTAATATCTGTTATATAACTAATCTCATTGAGATCAATAAATTAGCTAAGTGACCCAAGCTACTGCATAGACTATGCAAACCACACAGTCAAAAAGTTGGAAGTAAGCATAACAAAACCAATGCACCTTAAAACAAAAAAAGGGGAGAAAACCCTATAAAACAACAAAAACACAATCTGATGCTTTCATTTCAATACACTTTGTTATATTATGCAACATTAAAAAAGACTATTGGAAGGTAATAATATTACATTTAGTCTCTGATTGGTTCTGAGTAACATTGAGTCAAAAGATTTTACTATGAAGTTGCCAAAGTACAGCATCAGGTACTTAGTAAATGATGGTGTCCACTTCCAAAATATGACACGTGAAGCAGAAAAGAAAGGGATGCAGTGTTGAACAATTATTCCAGTTCAATTATACACCTTACATCTTCTGGAAGGACGATCACTTTATCTGGCGCTAAGTGTCCTTCTACTTAAATAATTTTCAATTTACCATTAACAATGCATAAGAACTGCTCATGATCTAATCAGTGTGGCCTACAACTACCTTCTCATTTCTCTTACACGACACACTGCTTGTGATCCAGACAAAGAGCAGACTCCTCTAGGAGACATAGTTGCAGAGATAATATCTCCATTTAGAAAGAAAAAGGGGATATAATCAACGTCTACAAAGATGTGAAGGCAGCTGATTGAGTCAACATGAACTTGCTCACAGAAATCTGGAATCGCTAGATTTAAGGGAGTAAGAATTGCCTAAAGCTTGAAATAGCAAACTTAAGACAACAACAACAAAACAAATACTAAGTATTCCATACAATGGGCATTTCACGTATAGAAATGTGCTACTTCACAGAGGTAGAATGAAAATACAAGTATTATTAAAGAAAACTTTAGATAATCAATGGATGACAGATCCATATTGGTCTATTAAACATAGAATTCCAATAATTTTATGTTGTTCTCTGCCTCCACTCTGTTTCTTAGCCAGCATGTGGACACAGACTATGAACTAATGGAAAGTTTTATAGTTCAAGTATAAACTAATATTTTTTAGCTCTACAAGGAAAACGATTGCAGGTCTTTCTTTAAATATTTTAGCTAGCCTACTTTTTCTCAATTGAAATTCTTCAGAAGTGTTCCTCATTCCAATTCACATCTCCCAGAAGCCATCCTTAATCCCATTGATCTAAGTGAGAATCATTCCTATGTACCCACAGTATCCCGTGACCCTCTCTTAATGTGACAGTAATGCTACTGCTCAATACTGGCATCTTTATTTGCTGGTCTTTACCTGTTGGAAAGACTGTGACGTCCCAGAAACAGGGAGCATGTTAATGCACCTGTCCATTATACCCACCTCACCAAATGATTTCATTAGTTGCTAAAGGAACTTGCTTCTTTTTTGAGAAGAACTAGGTGAGAAAAATGGATTCAGAAAGGTGTTTCTCTTTTCCAAATTATTAAACCTATTTACTTATTCACTGAAAAAATGAGCTTTGACTTTGTAGATTACTGTATTGCCAGATTCTGTATATATTTAAATTATAGCAGAAAGTAGTTTTGAAATTCATGCCATTACTTAAAGTGCCTGTTAAGAGAAAATCTGGAAAGGTTAATGGTGAGAAAGAAATCTAAAAGAATGGATTTGAACAGGATAAAACACAGACTGTTAAGATTTCTTCTTTTATTTTCTTCTGTGATAAGAAAAACTCCCAACAAAGCATGCAAGTGGTAAAGTCACCATTTTATTGTTTCTTTACTAACATATTGACTATTAGACTATAAAATAAAGTATATATAAGAGTTGAAAAACTATTTAAATTACTTTGAAATCCTATGACATTTTTCAGCCACTCTGAAATGTAGTTCTTCCTCTCGGGCTTTATATAGTTTTCCAAAATCAGCAGCAGTGTTTCTTTGTTTCTTGAATCTTGTAGTTCAAACTCTTTAGAAATGCATTCCTCAGAAACAGAATCACTTCATGCAGCCCCCCCGCCCCCACCCTGTGCCCCCACCGATCACGGCCTAAAATTCAAATGCACTCCCAGTTCCGAAGGACATGAAAACATTTCCACTGTTAGCTCACCTTTCCACTGAGTTCCTCCCCAGCCTTATACAGCTGGCTTTGCAACTGTGTTCCTAGTAGTTTGAAACAGGGCAGAACTCAGCAACATTCTGTGATGGGCTCACATTGTCTTATGAAGCTCTGATTTCTGTTCTGTAAGAAGAATTAGAACCTATATATTTGACTGATTGTTTCTTTTGAGGTGCCTCTTGTAAGAATCATCCATCAGAATTATTGCATCTATTAACCTCTCTCTTTTGTGTTCATATGGAAAAGTCTCTCTAGTGGAATACACTCTCATTTACATTTTAAAGAAGCAGCATCGATTCGTAAATAACATGTTTGTAATAAAAGACTGGTACAGAAGGACTAAAGGACATCTGAAGCACAATAAAACCAATGTTTTTTTGAGGAAGATTAGCCCTGAGCTAACATCTGCCACCAACCCTCCTCTTTTTGCTGAGGAAGACTGGCCCTAAGCTAATATCCGTGCCCATCTTCCTCTACTTTATATGTGGGACCCCTGCCACAGCTTGGGTTGACAAGTGGTGCATAGGTCTGCACCTGGGATCTGAACCAAGAACCCTGGTTTGCTGAGGCTGAACTTGCGAACTTAACCGCTGCACCACTGGGCCAACCTCTAAAACCAATGTTTTTATGTAAGGAAGCTTTTTTATTATAATTTCTCTTAAATAAGATTATAATTTTAATAACTCTAAGCAAACACTTTAAAATATTGTATTTGCATATAATTTTATTCTAAATAAATTTATAACATTTAATAAGAAAATCTTTCATCTAGGTGATTCAATACTTTGGAATACTGCCTAAAGTTGACGAAACAGATCTTATACTAGTTAATATATACAGCTTTCTATCAGTTTGCAAAAAAAGTAACTAAATAAATTGAACAATTTTCTGAAAAAATTGAGAGAATAAAGTTTAAAATTAGTGTATTAGAAGAATAAACATTTACATATAAGATAATTTCACATATATTATAAATAATAGACTCTTAAGCCCTACAAATATTCTTCTCCATTGATATCAAATGGATCTCAAAGGTTTTCCACACTTGCACAAATGACACAAAATGAGATTAAAGCATAGTGCATTTTCCTTTATTTAAATTATAGCTGCAAGTAAAAATGCAATCACTAGAAAGAATAATACTTACAACTTTGAATGATCTTTGGTATCTGCCTGAACTTGCCTGATAGGGACCAGATAAGAATCAAAACAGTGGAGTATATAAACAGGAACAAAAAAAAAAAAACCATGGCAAGGAAGTGATCGACAAGCTTCTGCCGTGGTTGGATTTGTGAAATAAATTAAGCAGGAATTTGAAGTATCTATTGACGCCTTGGTTTCTAAGTGACAGCTCTGTGTGTGGTGTTTTTGTTGTGGTCTGGAACTACCTGGGCCTCAGAAGCATAATCCATTTATTGAAGGGTGCTTGGAGAAGAGAGAGAAAGCTTTATCTCTAACACAAGGAGAGATGAAAAAATGGCTTTTCTTTTTCTTAAAAATTGTAGTTTGAACAGAATTAGAACAGGCTATGATCGCAAATGAAGCAATAGAAGGACTTAGGGGGTAAGAGAGGAAATTGAGGGAAATGTAATTCCTAAGTCATTTCTAAAGATGTTTGAAAATTATCTGAGTACTAGAATGTAAATAAAAATGCAGGCTGAGTAAATTTATTTTAAAATCTTAAGTGATTTCTTAACCAAATAATATGGTATAATGTTACTGCATTTCTATATTTTGTAGGATTTGTTTGTTTACTTATCTATTTTGGGAGTACTGTTTGAAAATATCTTACAAGATTTAGATCTTCAGCATTTTGTTAATTTTTTTAATGTACACAGGACCTTCCAAGTTCACTTGAGTCAAAGAAAAAGTGTAGTGCATTTGGGCCAGCTTAAAGCATTTTGATTCCCAAAGCAAAGAATATAGTCTTTTCATTTAGAAAGACACAAAACCTAAATCTGATTCTACCCACCTACTGACTATGTGACCATGAGCAAATTATTTAATCTGAGTCATTTAGTTGCAAAATACAACTAACAAAATCAATCCCATAGTTTTTGTATTAGTTAAAATACGTATTAATCTCAACCCTTGAATATAGTAAGTGCTTCAGCAAGTGGTAGAATGAGAAAGTAGGAGGGTTTGCTCTAGGATATTTAGAAAGCATTTTCATTTAAATAGAAAAGAAAAGCCCACAAATACTTAATAGGTATCCTTCCCAATAATCAAGGTACACAGACTCAGTGTCCACTAAATTGACAGAGGCAGACAGACTAAGTCGATGTTTGCCCATTGGTTTCTGTCAATCAGTGGATACCTGGTGGAATTGAGGGCACACAACCTTCAGCAGCAAGTCTTTTTCTGGCATTATCTCCCTGGTCCTCTGATATAGTGGCCCGAGGATAGAGTCCCTGTTCGCTCTGATGGACATTTTCATCCAAAAATCACTAATCGGGCTCTCCTCTTTTTCTCTTTCTAGTCAGGAAAGGCTTTGGGGCCCTAACAGGTTTTCAGATGTGTTTTTAAAAAGTGGGATAAATGTGTTCCAGAGAAAGAAGGCCTGCTAATGTGCTTGAACAGAAAATCATCAAACATACTGAGGACAGAGGCACGAGAAGGGACACAATGATGAAGCATAAGACCTGACGTGCAGAATGGATTTCAGAATAACTCCATAATTCCAGGATTCTTATATCTGAATACCAAAAGTCATCAACAGAAGACTTGTTTATCGGGGCTGGCCCCGTGGCCAAGTGGTTAAGTTCGCGCGCTCCGCTGCAGGCGGCCCAGTGTTTCGTCGGTTCGAATCCTGGGCGCGGATATGGCACTGCTCGTCAGACCACGCTGAGGGGGCGTCCCACATGCCACAACTAGAAGGACCCACAACTAAGAATACGCAACTATGTACCGGGGGGCTTTGGGGAGAAAAAGGAAAAAAAAATAAAATCTTTAAAAAAATAAAGAAATAAAAAAAAGACGACTTGTTTATCAATAAATATGGTATCCTCTTAAGTAGAAATTCTATGTATCTTCAAACATATAGTTATCTCATACAGAGCCTGCTGCAAAACGTGAAGTATATTTTCTTTCTCACTTTTCACTTATTTTATTTCACTTACTCTTTTGGTTTTCTAATTTAACTATTTCAGCTAAGTTTTTTCACATATTCTTTTGGTTTCCTAATTTCACTATTAATGAAGTTAATCAGCAGTGGTTTTAGTAAGGTAAAAACCTAATTGGTGATAAATTTGAAATCATATTTACCACATGTCAGCAAATGTCAGTAATGCATACTTCTCTAGAATGGCTGCCGGTTTCCACAGATCTGAGCCATGTCTAAGTGACGACTGTAGTCTGTCACCATATAACTCTTCAACCATACCTCAACTTCCAGAGTTCTCACCACTGTACCTTTAGTGCAAGAGTCTTAATATCAATTTTACCACTCCTTAAAATTAACTAAGCACAATAAAGTAAAAATAAGTTAAAATGGACTGATACATGTTCATTCATCACCATTTGTTCATCCAACGACCTTTTATTGAGAGACTACTGTGTGCCAGGGACTGGGCTAGTTATGAAGGTGCAGCTATGAAGAGAGAGACCTCCCGCTGGTATACAAGTGGATGACCTTAATAGAACCAAGACAGTTTGATTACGGAAATATAAGAGATTACAAAGTACAAAATAGATTTACTTTAAGCACTAGAGCAACGACTTCAAATGTTATGCAACCAATTGTGAATGAGGTTGGCTATCACGCTTACTTAAATTGACATTATTATTTAGCAAAAAAAATTACTCAAGAAATGATTAACTTTTTACTAAAATGACTTCATGGTTCTGAACAACAACAAAATTTTTTAAGGTGCCTGTCATTAAAAAAACAAAACATAACGAAAAACTATCCAACTTTCTTAGTCAGTAAACTGTGATGTTAAAATAATGTTCCATCTCCATTTTCTAAAATGATTATTTTCTCCATGAAAATTAAAAGGAAACTCACCGTAATAGGGAAACATTGATAACGATGATAGTCTACCTTATTTCAGAGTTCTGTAATTATTCTTTACTGGCCGGTTTACCAACTATATAGGAGGTTAAATCTCAATAATCTTGGAATCATCTGCTACTAAAACACAGAGCCTAGGCATAAATGTCCTTGCCAGGAGTTAATTTTGATAAGAAACACCTTTTTCATCTTTGATGGGCATTTTAAATTTAAATTTAGGATACATCCTTTACAAACACATAAGACCTCCTGAAGTTTTCTTTCTGACAAAGGGAGAGAGAGGAATATTAACTACTTAATCCTCAAGACAACTTAATGATGTAAAGGCTACTATTATCCCAGTTTATAGACAAGGAAACTGAGGCACAAGGAGGTTAAATTGCCCGTCATAGAAATAACAGATAGAGGAGCCAGGATTCAAATTCAAGCAGTGTGCCTCCAGTTTCTTTCACTGTACACTTTACGTTAATATATTATGTTAAATTTTCCAGATATTTCTCAGAATGTTATTTCACTTGTGTGAAATATTTATTAAACACACACAAACATACACACAAAACTAGTCATTCCAACAATGTTAGCATTCCATTATTACTAAGGTACTCTTTCCCAAATCACTACATACCATGTTTCATTCAGAAAAATAAGACCCAAGTTCAATATAGAGTAAAGCAACTTCATTTTATCATAATTTCCCATATTATAGGAGTTTCCATCCTTACTCATAGACCCTGATCTTATACCACCCCATTGTACACTGATCAACTCCTTTCCTTTCAGCTAAAGGAAAACATTAACCTTCAAATATGAGTTTGACCTTGAAATTTTGAAAGACACAAGAAAATGCAATTGATCTGCTAGATGGCCATAGAGCAAATAGACACTGTATTTGAGTGTTTCTCTCTCTCTCTCTCTCCCTCTCTTTCACACAGACATGTACTTTCTCTCTCCCTATCTTGATCTACATACATATATACATGCACACACATACACACAGACACACACACAATATCTTGGCAGAATATAAAATGCATGGTCTCATAAAACTGTCATGTAAAGGGCAAGGAAAGATTATTTTCCTCCTAATCATTATAAAGGTGTAGTTCAATGATGCTAAGGCTACCAATGACACCAACTAAACACGTATATGACAAATAGCAGTATTTCTCCCTGAGGTCCAACCAGTATTATCCCACTCAAGATATACCGACAAAATCTGAATGGTATGTTTGAAAATTAATCTAGCACATTTTTCTGATCTCAGTTCTGATCCTGTCCACCACCCAGAAAACATCTTAACATGGCATGTTGTATAGCAACTGGGCAAACTAAATGGAACACTTAAATTATTGTTAAACACTTGAAAAATTATGTTTTCCCCTCTTAAGATATTTCAAAATATCTTAGAAACTCTGTTTAACTGTCACTTTAAGTTGAGGCTGCATTTAAAAATATCAAGAAATACAGCTTTTATAGGATAAAGGATAAAATATCTAGAAATGTGAAATTATAAAATTGAAAAGAAAATCTCAAAAGGCAGATGAACTCAGCACATGCATTCACAGTTTTCCCATCTTCAAGGTTCAGATAAAGATTTTAATTAGCTCCCTTGAAAACTGTTAACGCTGAAATGAAACTTCCACCATTACTTCCTTTTCACATAGTACTCAGGATACCAAGCCCAAAAATAGAATTTAAATTCCTGATTAACATTGCAATAAAAGAGTAGAGAAATATAACGCAGGCAATATTGCATTAGTATAAGTACATTTTAGCAAATATGTCTTTAACATTTAACATTCATTATTACACACATATAGATGAGGTATATATTTTTATTTTTCCCTTGCACGTTTTTAACATCTCAAGCAGAAAATATATATTTAAAGTTCTCTATAACAACAAACATGCCATTATTGAAAATACCGCTCTAGGGTAATTATCAAATGTATAACAAACTGATGCAACTGAATTGGGCTTAATATTAAGAAGATATTTACATACATTCTCTCTTTCTCAGATTTTTCATTAGGTCTAGGCAGCTATACATATATATATATATCTTTCCATGTATATTCCTATAGTAATGAAAGGTGGATAGGGTACATAAAAGAGCATTTTTAATCTGCCACTCATTATCTGTTAATTAAATAATATCTTTAAATATAAAATTTATGTTAAATTAATAAGTAAGAAGAAAACATCAAATGCATGCTCATTCAAGTTGGAGTACAGAAATAATGGAAGATAATGTTTGATTTAATTCTGAAGCTGTAATTTGCAGCAGCCTTATTTTCATGGTCAAGGTGACTTCTGGATATACTGAATGAATCCTTACACAGACTGTACCAAAGAGAAAACAACATGTGTCAGCCCTGTGGGTGGAGGTGACACGCAATTGAAAATGTCTAATTACACGTTTCACCTTAACTAAACATCCTGAAAGATGACACGATCTAATTGCAGATTAATGTGTTATTTCTCTAAGGCTACAAATGAAGTAGTGAGAGGAAATATCTCTCTGATTCTCTAAGTAGCCCAAGAATTCTGTTAAATGCCTTTGTCTGCCATGTAAATCTGAATAATTCTCCCATATATTGCTGACCCAAAATATAACTCACTAAAATATAAGTGGACATTAACATATCACTAGGGATTCTTTTTGAAATTTGAAAAGGTAAAAATCACCCCTCAACAGGGGCCCAAAGCAAAAAAGGCTAGACATAATGAAAAATCAGATATGCTGTTGCCCTTTCTGGTTCCACCTACATGGTCCCAACTTCTTAATCTCTCTTTCCTTGCCCTCTCTTCTTTTCTTCTTGAATTTTCCATGAAAAATTTCAAAAACTTTTTCATTCTGGCAAAGTATATTTGTGTTTTCTTAACCTCATCCTGTGGTTTGAATTTTCAAATTTCATTAAAATTTGTGTTTGCTGGATGCCTACACTCTTCCAGATATTGCTTCTGGTGGATTATACAATTTACATAACTTCTCAACGCAACACTTCAACTCTCTTTAGACCAGGCAGGACTTTAGGATTTGATGATAGTGATACTGGTCATGCACTGCTCAGTCCATACACAAATGCTGTCTGAGTACTTGTTGATGTGCCACACTCTGTGCTGGAAATGGAAAGATGAAAATACTCCATCTACGTACCCCTGGGAGCTATAATGGATAAATGTACTGGGTGCAATAGCAGTGCATGAGCAGTATGTGCTCTGAGGAGGGAATGTTCATTTTGAGGTCGCTATAGAATGAATGTTTGTGTTGCCATAAAATTTGTATTTTGAATTCCTAACCACCAATGTGATGGTATTAGGAGGTGGGGCCTTTGGATATGTGATCAGGTCATGAGGGTGGAACCCACATGGATGAGCTTAGTAACTTTATGAAAGAGACCACAGAGCCTTCCCTGGCCCCACCCACCACATGAGACACAGTGAGAAGGCTGTCCACCTGGTAAATTGTTATAGCAGCCCAAATGGACTAAGATAGAGGTGGAATCTTAGGTTGGATACATGAATATCCTTTTCAGTTATTCTCTACATTGTTCAGTCCTATTCTCATACTTTACTATTTTTATAACTTTATCCAGCTTCCCAAAGATCTAGCCTTTCTTCTGGAGTCTTTCATTCACGCCTCAATTCTCACCTCCAATCTAAAGATTGGTGTCCCTACTCTGCGGTTAAATGCTGAGGGTACAGTGATGAAGATAGACTGTTCTGCTTTCAGGGGACCTCTGGGGTGAAGTAAATTAAATATCTATTTAATTGCAAATATTAAGT